TGTCCTGATCTAAGGCAATGCTTCTCAAACATTAATGGGCAGATAAATCAGCTGGTGACACCAGACATGTGCAGACTCTGATTCAGAGGTCTGGTGCTCTTGTCCACAGATTGCCCTTTAAGTGCCATTGGAGGTAGGACAGGTAACTTGTCTAGGGCCATTGTTCACAAATAGTTGCCCATTCATCAGTTTGAAAGGTAAAGAATAAAAATATTAAGCATTAGTCCCCTGACTCTTTAAAAACAACAACATAGAGGTACCAAAGAAGAAATAATCCCCAAACCCATGATAAACTAAAGAAAAAAAGTGATTACGCCAATTTTTCCTCATGTCTTATGAACAATTTGTAGACTATGAGAGACATATAAGGTCTCCCTAAAGTGACTGTTCCCCAAATCCATTGTCTAGAATGCCAGACATGGAGTGCCCAAATCCCATGTCCAGAATATGACTCAGGAAAAATGAATTTCTCCTAAGAGGTGTCCTTGGTTTAATTTGAATCCATATGCTTTACTTTACAAGGATGGAAACCATTTTCCAGAAAAAGGGATGGGTATACAGGGCTCTCAGATGGTCAGCCCATGGCCAGAACTAGTCCTGACTTCATGCTATCAGCATGAGAAGCTTAAGAACTGTGCCATTTTAACTTAAGCAGTGTTTAGAATCTTAAATTCAGTATCATAAACTTCATATCATGGAGGAAAATAGACACACATATCCTTGTACTAAGAAAGCAATCATTCATTCATCCATCACTCATTCATTAAATATTGAGTGCTTCCTCAATATTCAAGTTATTTTAAGAGTCTTCAAGGAACTGGAGAGAACCAACTATGGCAAATATCCAAGCTCTTCTGTGTGTTATAAAGTGCTTCAGATGCTGGGGAAAGAGATGGTTTGGTGCTTTACTCTTTGTGAGTCAGTACAAAGAGAGTAAATGATTTAGAGCTGTGCTTTTCAACATGGTGAAAGTCTAGTTTGTTCCCTCAATATATTTCAGATAGGCACCTTTGTGAAATGCAATAAAAATAAATTACTAGAAAAGAAAAATTTAAAACTCACAAAAATGTACAAAACATTAAGTCCCTCTGTTTTTGTCTTGACAATGTCAAATTGCGCATACACACACACACACACACACACACACACACACTTACCTTCAAATTCTCTGTGTCTGAGATACCTGTAACATATAACTTGCAGACAAACATGATCCTTACTATAATTTGAGTAGAACAGGCTTATAGCACAGATTCCAGGGTTATATTGCCTGGGTGTGAATTATAATTTCACTTTTGCTAGCTATATGATGATGGCCTAATTATTTAATTTCTTAGTTTCTCACTTTTCTAACTATAATAAGATCCTCACAGAAGTTCCTGCCATACAATCAAAGCACTTACAAGTTAACACACATAAAGCACTCAGTAGTTCCAGCTCATGGAAAATGCTGCTGAAGTGATATCTGCTAACATTACCAATTACCTACTATTAAGATTGCTGCCATTACTAGTATTACTTCTATTATTTCTACCAGTACTACTTTGCTGTATCATTTTGGGCCAATACTTGCATAGCTGTTTCACTTATAAAACTATATTTGTATTCTCTTCCTTCCTATTGACTTCCTTCCTTCCCTTCTGTGGGATCTGCGATGGCAGGTGAAATCACTGGTGGGAAAGCATGCTAGCACCCATGGATGCCCGCCCATAATATGAGTTCTGTAATGCCCAGAAGCCATCTCAGAGGCATAGGAACACTGGTGCTCTCTTCACAGGGCACCCATGCACTGCATCTGCCTATCATTAAACAGATAAAACAGCATTAAGACATCTGTCCTTCCTCTTCCCTGAGGAATCGGGCTGGGCTGACAACAGATGACACTGGGTGCTTGCCTCAAGGAAAAGGCATGTCCTCCCTTCTATTCTTTGACCAAACATCCCTCTAGTAGAGGGCATAACTGTAAAGGACATTTTTATGCTTCATGTAATTGAATACTTAACCCACCTGCATCTTTCACATAAGCATATATTTTTCCAATTCCCTTCTTAACTTTTGTTTTGGATTCTCAGTTCACATTTCTGAGAATTATTTCTTACTTTTTTCCCCCAGACTAGTTACCTATGATTATTTGAGAATAAAAACATAAAGAGACACAGAAACAGTGAAACATGAGCATGGGAAATCATGATAGAAGACAATTTATAAGGCAAGAGAAGTTCTCAGAATGGGAAAGGAAAGATAAGCATCTCCTCATTTGCTTTTTAAATCTTGTAACTCTGAGAATATTAAACAAATGTATTATCTGCACCTCCAGCACCTTGCATTTTCATAAAATAAAATTTGGATTGAAAAAAGAGAGAGGGCAACAAAATAACTCAATAACAAAGCAGATGTTTTTATCTCCAAAAACAAATTTAGAGGCTAATAGCTTGAATGGCCTTAGTCTCAAGACTTACTTACTTACATATAATTATATCCTGACAAGGTCAAAGACGGAACAGGTGAAATGGAGTTCTTCCCGAGTCTCCGAACAGAGTAATTGATTTAAAGGACAAGAGGCGCAGTTACACATACAAAATGGCTGGTGACGAGGTTGGGAGTGATCTGACAGGCACATCAGTGCACTGCCCAGAGATGACACTCAGATGGCAGCACATGGCCTGACACAGCCCAGATTGCAGTCAGCTAGTGATAAGTTTTAATATGTCCTTGCTATTCAAGCTGAAAACAATCATGTTTAATAAGCCAGAATCTCTAGTTCACAGATCCCCTGGTAGTGCCCTGTTGCCTTTTTCCCCTCTCAATCTCAGTACACTAAGCATGTTCAAGTTGCTCTATGTGCCATATAGCACAACACTTCAGGGAAATAACTAACGAATGGGTTTCTCATGAAGGAGACTAACATGGCCAGACAAAGCAGGACAGTAAACATGTTTTTGCCATTATCTCTCATTTTCCCATTCTGACTCTGCAGGTATTTATGACTCTCAAAACTTACTTATTGTGTCCATCCATCTACCCATGCATGCATGAATGCATTCAATAAATTATTTATTGAGCATTTTCCTGCTGTCTGATACTCTATTATGCTTTTGCAACTTACCTTTTAGTGGGGGAAAAACCCAGAAATTAAACAAGTTAGCAAAATTAATAAATACAGTCATGATAAATGTTGAGGACAAAAACAAAAACAACCTATGTTGGGGTTGGGGATGTAGATCAGTGGTAGATACCTAGCCTAGGGTGTGCAGGGCCTTGGGTTCAGTCCCCAGCACTGCATAAATGAATGAATGAATGAATGAATGAATGAATGAATAACCAAATACAATAAAAAACCCAAAGTGTTAAAACAGTGATCGAGGGGACTCCTTTGGGGTTCTGACACAAAGAGTGTTTGATTCAGATGATTCAAATGAAGAGAGATTAATGAAGAGAGAACTCCCAGAGGCATGGGCAGGGTGGAACAAAGCATCAAGGGATAGTGAGGCATTCGGAGACCAGTAACAGCAGAAAGCTGCAATCAAGGGACAAGGAAGAAATGGTGTCAGAGACCAGTGAAAGCCAAGCTATGAAGGAAATGTCACCTGGTGGGACCTCGGGTTATGGAGGGATGCACCCACAGCCAGGACCATGATCCAAAGTGGGGAGGAAAGGGAGAAGAACAAACTCAACCTTGTTCTCCTCATCCTCCACCTCAGCTGGTGTTTCTTATTGAAAGAACCTGATCACAGCCAATTGGCAAGTGACACAGACCATAGGGTTTAGCTGTAGTATTGAAAACACACAGGAGGTGAAGAATGGATGAAAATCAGGAAAGGGGAGCTCTTAGGTGGAGAAGTCAAGAAAGACCTCTCAGTGGAGGTGGCATGTCGAATAAGACACAGAAGTTCCCCACTATGCAAAGAACCATTATAGAGTAGTCCACAGATGGAGCAGTGAACACACTCCTTTGCCATTTCCCCTTCTCCACACCCAAGACTCAGTATAGGTCCTTCATCAGGAGCATATGGAACACAGGCCCAGATAATCCAAATGAGCATCTTCCTAAGTGTGAGGCCTCTGTTCAAAATTCTTTGTATCATAGAAAAGTTTGCTTATAAAAAATGCTCATAAATAGGATAATTCCCTAAGATCCCACAGGTAACTGAAGCAAGTAAAACTCCCCTCCAGCTTCTCCTGAAGCTTCTCCTGAAGAACTTGAGTCTTTTGTATCTTGAATATCACCACATTGTGTAATTTCTGTAAACATGGGCTTTATGCCCATTGTTCCTTTAAATGAAGAAACCCTATATAAAGTTACGACGTAATAAAAGTCAAACTTCACCCATAATTTAAAATTGTTCTAATCTTCTATTAGTTTTATATTCATCTCCAAGTCACCAGTCAAAATGTGTATAATATATATATATTTCAAGTTTATTAATCAAAAGTATCTATTTACAGATTGTTTAATTTCTACTGCTCCCACACCATTTTTTTATGAAGTCAAAGTAGAACTTTCAAAGTTAATGAGATCATTACTTGAATTAAATGGTCTCACTTGTAAAAGTCAGTTTACTGGTTCAAATTCACCATGAACTAGTCAAGTTATTTACAGCAAGTCTGCTGTCAAATGGTGCAGCGGGTTTCCGGCTGGTAATTGAGGTTAGGTAGGGTGACTGAATTCCTTTCTGTTAATCCTTCATACTCTGGGATGCATTTACAAATAGAAAAAGAAGGCCTTTCAAGGACAAATTCCAGCAGACAATGAAGGGTTGACTTTGTGTTAATGAGACTCAACATTTCCCACAAAGTTAACCAGTTTTTTTTCTTAAAGATCTTAAGGAAATTCCAACTATGTTAGACCTAAATTTCCCTAGTGCCTGTTTAATTTATTTCCTCTTGTTTTGTCCCTGCTGAATATGGAAACAGATGGTAATCCTTCTTCTTTAATTCACAACTCTTGCCAAGCCAATAAAAATTGCTGATAAAAGCAGTAAATTCTGGAAGATTATTACCTGTAGGAGAGGCCGCTGCACCCCCAACACCTTCATGGTGTCTGCATTAGCAAGGATCTTCAAGGGATCAGATGTTTTAGTGACTCCTTCAATCTCCTTGTTGATCTCAGCCAAGACCTGACTGAGGAAGATGTTTTTGATGTACATGGTGAGAAACTCTCGAAGAGGGCACTGTTTGGCTGGGCCAAGCCCCAGGGCATGCTCAATCTCCTGAATAAATCTGGAAGACAGAGTAAAAAGGTTGTTAAATATATCAGAAAAATATTTGTATAAACATGACACCACAACACATATCCATGGAGAGAGGTCAGCACTCTAGCATTCATCTAGGCATGATTTTCCTTAAAAAAAATTATTTCACTTATTAAATAGAAATAGGATGAAATAGAAAAACATGACTTCTAAACTAGAGTAGAAAGAGAGAACTAAGGCCGCATGTGGCAAAGGAAGAGTATGATAAACAGAAAACAAACTGATGACACAAATCAAAGAGCACACCTACAAATAGTACACATTACTCACTGAAGCCTTCACAGGAACACCTATAAACATTAAGAGAGAGAGTAGGCAGGGTCAGGGGAGAGGATAAAGGATACTCTTTTGTGTGTGTGTGTGTGTGTGTGTGTGTGTGTGTGTGTGCACGCGCGCATTGCTGGAGATTGAACCCAGGGTCTTGTGCATACAAGGCAAGCACTCTACTAACTGAGCTATATCCTCAGCTCAAAAGATACTCTTTAAATTCATGATGATAAATCAGTTTGGAGGTTGAGGAGGGGAATACGATGGGAGCTGCAGGGCAAAGAATATAAAATTTATTTTTAATGTTTTATTTCCTTTATTAAAAACACTCGATGCATACACAACAAAATGTTAATAATGGTCAAGTCTCAGAGATGAGTATGCAGAGTTTTTTACATTATTCTTATACTTTTTTAAAAAAGAGGCAGCCCTTGCATTGTGTGGTTTGATATGCACACATTTAACTTACTACGGTTTCCTTAGATAGTATCATTGCCCTGACATGATTTAAATTCCATAGTATCACAGTATAGTTTCCACAGTATATTAAGTCTGAGTAATTGCATAAAGTCAAAACTATGTTGCCAGCTCTTCTGAATTCTCTAAGTAACAGCCTTGCATCGTGATCGGTGAACAATCACATGACTTTTTCCAAGTCTACTGGTAACTGGTCATGGCAAGACAGCCTCATGACACAGTCCATAGGGCTCCACTTGAGCATGGAAAATGCATTGGCTATTCCGTTCATGTGCAGGCAGCCAAGTGTGTAGTTGTGTTGTCTCTTTGTCTCCCTGTGATAAGCCCATGTGACATTTTATAAAAATGGATAATTGAAAGAGGGAATTGGAGAACAAAGATAAAAGCACAGCAACAAAACTAAAAGTGATAGTATTGGAAGTGAAATCTGAACTGAATGTAAATAGAGCTATAGAAGACACAGATGACTGAGGGGATGTTGACACTGCTGCCATTGGAGGGACACATGTTGCCAGAACAAAGGGGAGTTTCTCAACATCAGTGAGGAAAGTGCTTGTGATGAAAGGAAGGAAGAGGATGAAGAAGGATGGGATGCCAGAGGAAGGGATGCTGGCAAAAAGCTTCACATTAGAATTCGTGTAGATATTTCACAACAACAAAAAAGGATCAAATGCTGGCAGCTGATCCAAATGTAGACGGGATATGACAGTTTTCTAAGACATGGAAAAGACTCTCACCCTGTCTCACTAAGTAATGAGATGAAGGTGGAAACAGTGTTCAAACTACTCTTGCTAAGGTTGTCAAGAAGAAATAAAACACTTTAATTCTCGTTATGGTTTAGATCTGGAATGCCCCCAAAAGCTCAGGTGGCAAAGGCTTGGTCCTCAAGCTTCAGAGGTGGGGATTTGGGGAAGTGATTGCATATGAGGGCTCTGACTTCATCAATGAATTAATCCTTGAGGAATTCACAATTTGATGGCTTTATTGAGACATAAATGAAACTATAGGAAGTAGGGCCTAGTGGGAAGAAGTGGGTGACTAGGGGTATGCACTGGAAGGGTTTATTTCTCTCTAGTCCCAACTCTTCTCTTTTTGTACTTTTCGATGTCCATGAGATAATCAGTCTGCTCCACCATGTTAATACAATGGAGACAAAAAAATCATGGATGGAAGCCTCTGAAACCATGAGCCAAAACAAATCTTTCCTACTCTAAAAGTAGATTTTCAGGGATGGGGATGTGGCTCAAGTGGTAGCGTGCTCGCCTAGCATGCATGAGGCACTGGGTTTGATTCTCAGCACCACAAAAAAATAAAGATATTGTGTCAACCTAAAACTCTAAATAAATAAATATTAAAGAAATAAATAAATGAATAAAGGTAGATTTTTCTCAAGTATTTGTTACAGTGATAAGAGGCTGTCTAACATAATTCTCAATGTTTCTAATGTTATAGTATACTAAATATATCTTAGTATTCTTATTTTTCATTCCTCTATTCACTTATAAATATCAGTTTAAGAGCCCTTAGTGTTTTGACCAAATTTTTTAAACTACTGTGATTTTTCTCATTGCTTCACATGGTTTTCACTGGCTTGGTCATTTTTAGCATTCTACAATGCTGTGTAAAGCAAGGGCTGCCTTTAAACTTTCCTTACAAAGGAGAAGGAGGAAAATGAAATGAAATAGAGACAGGTGTGGCAGCACACACCTGTAATCCCAGTGACTCAGGAGGCTGAGGCATCAGAATTGCAAATTCAAGGCCCTTCTCAGAAACTTAGGGAGACCCTGCCTCAAAATGAAAAATAAACAGGGCTGGGAGTGCAGCTCAGTATAGTACAGCACTCTTAGGGTTCCATCCCTCATATTGAAAAAAAAAGGACAAGATGAGTAACCAACTGGGAAGATGCATGTCCAACTCATATTACAGATGGTGGCTAGAAATCAAAATGAAAACCCTAGACAACTTAGTAGAAAACTGAAGAAAGGACATGAAAATACCATTAATAATAAAAGAAATACAGTGGCCAGTAAACATAAAAAGATGCTTAGCCTCATTCATAACAAGAAAAATGCAAAGAAAGCCATACTGAGATACCAATTTTTACACCCATGCAATTGTCCAAATTCCAAAAGTTTCAAAATATCCTTTATTGGTGCAAATGCAGAGGAAAAGGTATGCTTATGTAACATTGATGGGAGGGAAACATGGCATAGCACTAATACAGGGCAGTTGATACTACTATCTTTCAAAATTACAAATACATTTCCTTTTGACCCAGAAATACCACTTCTGGGAAATTCTTCGGACAGCTATACCTGAATAAGGACACTCAACATTTAACATTGTTTTTATGGCAAAAGACTAGAAACATCCCCAAAGTCCATCAATTAGGGGAAAATGAAACTATGGTGTACTACATAGTGGAATACAAAAGCTTTTGATGAACCATGTGAAAAGATCTCCAGGATATATTGTTAAGTGGGGGGAAAAAAAGTAAGTGGAGATCAATAGCTATTTGGGAATGTTTACTATAATAACCTCTCTATAAAAATTATATATCCTCATTTGTTTCCTTTAGCATAAATACACCCAGGGTAGTTTTACAAAACATGAAGGGGCAGGGGTGAAGTCTGGAGGAGGAGTGGGAATGAGACTTTCAATTATAACTTTTTAAAATCATTTGATTGTTAAAAGTTGTGAATGTATTAGCTGCTTGATTAAAAATTAAATTAGAAAGTTAAAAAATTACCTACACATATCAAAGAGTATATTTCATAAATTGCTATGTAATTAGATCACATTTAAAGTTTGGTGTATAAATAATTCTTTAAGTTAGCTTTCAACCTAATAGTTTCTTCTACTTATTAAATTAACAAATTACAGATAATCTTGCATATCACCAGTTAAATACTCTACTAGCCCTGGTGTGTGTGAGTGTGTGTGTGTGTGTGTGTGTGTGCTGGAAAGGGGGTGGCATAGTATTTATTGGATCATCATAATTAAAAGAATTAACCCCAAAATTCTGAAAAGAAAGTAGGAATTGAGAAGCAAGAGAAACAACAATAAGACTTCTTACTTGATGTTATCAACATGGAAAAGGAAGTAAAAAGCTTGACCTTGAACAAGAGCTCATGATTCTTTCAGAAAAGGGTGAATTGAAGAAGGCAGAGGAAAATGGAGAAATAAAAGTAGTTAACCAGGGCCATAATTTTAAGTTCTTCCAACCCCATATCCTGCAGGCTAACCCCTTCTGATCTCATCTAACTCCCAGAGAAATCCCCCACCCAGGTGCATCCAGGTCTCCTTGGTCTGCTTCCAAACAATAACTGCTCTTATTTATTTGCTAATGAGTAAATACATCAAAATTCCCTTTATTATTTTTTTAAATCAATTCTAGAATTCCTATTTATTTTCTTCAAACAACTTAGAATGAGAGTTTTCTAAGCAGAAAGTACTGGTTATATTTTCAAAAAGTTCTTAAACGTTAGAACACATATTTTCCTAGTCAACCTGTTCCTCACAGACTAAAGAAGTCTCTAAACTATCTACATTTTCTTTTTTTCCAGTGTCTATTTGTCTTTGGTGTCCCTACAATATGTGACTGCTCCAAGCGCCACAAAGGGGCCCCATCACTTGCTGCTGAGTGATTTTTTTCAAATAAAAATCATTCATTTCCTAAAGCACACTCATCAGTCTCCAAAGACACTTCCAGGTTGATATTGTCATCTCTAACTGGAGGGGACCTATTCAACATGTTTCCAAATCTGCTTTCAGAACCCTGAGAGATCTCAAAGTGCAGAAAGCGTGAAACATGGATGTGTATGTGTGTGTGGCGGGGGGTGGTGCGGAGAATGAAAGAAAAAAAATAGGGCTGTCTCACCAGCCCCTTCTTTAGTCAGAGTGGGTAGAAGGATGGGTACTAGTGGCTGGGTCGGGGCAGGGTGGTGGGGGGGATGTTGATCAAAGGAGACATTGTTTTAGTTAAGGAATAAATTTAAGAACTCTATTGTATAAAATAGTTAATAATAAAATATATTTGAAAATCACAGAGAATGTAGTTAAATTTTAAGTATTCTTCCTAAAAAATGGTAAATATATGAATGATAACTCTGTTAATTAGCTCAGTTTAGCCATTAGAAATGTATATTTGAAAACATTGTGCTACATACTATATATATAAAACTTCGTCAGTTTCATTATAATAAATAAAAATTACAATAATAA